AGCATCCCTGCCTCTGCTTCAGACAAAAGAGTAAAAGTAGAAGTCAAGTGGTTTATCTGAAAACAACTTGAATATTCAGCGAGGGGTGAAATCTGTCTACTGGAAGTCTTCCATACACCTCTAGCTGTGTAGTCTTAAAATGATAATCCAGCCCACAGACTATAATTAAGATGGGATTTAGATGTATTTGTCAAATGAATTTGACACCTTGACTTTAGCAATGTCCAGAAAACTTTAACAGCCAAGGAAATCCCCCCAATCCTTACTTCAGTTTGGTGCTGATATAACTGTTTTGGCAGCCCTCAGAAGTGATAAAGCTGTGTTCTGCCACCATCATATTTAATGGAATAGGTTGTCACTTGGTGCTTAATAGGCTTAGAACCTCAAAAGCTTGAGTTCCATAGCAAAATTTCAAACTTTATCTTGACAGGAATTGTTTCATCTTAATTTAAATCTTTTAAGTTAGAACTTTCCTGCTCTTTAATGCAAAACACCATCAGAGGAAATAGGAATTACATAAGATCAGCGAAGGATTGAATTTGTCCAAGTTTGTTATACATATTTTTCATTCCTTTTGCTGTATGAAAATAACACCTGAAAATCTATAATAAAATGGTTTAATGACTTCCTTGGCATCTCAACTAATGCTATTTACCAGTGGCATTTATTTTTAGGTTGGAATCAAGTGGAATTCCTTTCTGCAAATATGCTTTTAGCACTATTATTGTACATTAGCATGTAGAACACCTCCTCTGTGATTTGTTTTTTTAAACTTTGTTATATTTTCTGTATTATGTGCGTGTATATATATATACTGCAATTTGAAGATACATGACACTCAAAAGAACTTACAAAGTGAATGACTGAGTGAACAGCTGAATGATTTATTACTGTCAGCTATGCCAGATTTCTGAGGGGAGAAACTTATTACAATTTTAGATTCTATGATGCGTTGTCTTTGAATAAAATAGAAACCTAAATAGTTGTAGAATTTGTAGTGGAATACCCAAACACATACCTGCAAGATGAATTGTAATCAGCAACAGAAAAACCCACAGGGCATTATTTAGTATGTTGCTTTATGTCAGGTAAAGTATTCTGTAACAACATACATGTGAGAAGCAAGGATTTTTTTGTGGAGATATCTTTTATTGGGCCAACTGTATGCCTTCTGATATTTCTCCCAACTATACAGTTGTTTTATCTGATAAAATATATTGCCCCCCACAAACTCCCAACACTTAATTCTTGCATATTTCCTGGACTATCACAGCTACAACTGCTCCAATCCATTGCAACACATGTAAGCATGTTAACAGAGTTAAGGCCAGATTCTATTTCACCTATTAGGCTTGTAAGTGGACTTGGTGCCAAAGTTCAGTTCTGGGTATGAACACGTACATTTGGAGCTGGATCAAAAGGGCAGCAGCTGTTACTTTCTAATTGCTACATATAGGCAAGCCAGAAATAATACAAATGTAGCAAAATCAGTCCAACTTTAATAGTGTTTTCCCCATGTTAGAGTGGTTCTACTCTGTTTCTATCATGTCTGGCTTATCCCCACGTAACACTTAGAGGATAACAGCTGCTGCCCTTTTGAAACGTTCTGCTTTTGAAATGGCTCCAACTGTATGTGCATCCATATTCTACCCTGCTCAACTCCCTGAAATGCTGTTAATACAAAAGATAGGTGGCTCCTCTTCCTTCTGGCCACTTTTTTTTTGAGACTCAGTATTAAACGTAAGATGGTGGTTGTTACAAAAGTATATGTATTCATGGATTTTGAAGAACTTGGACAGGACATAATAGAATTGTACATAGAACCCTACATCTACTCAGAGACCTAATGTGTGGGGTAGAGTTTGGCCCTTAATGTCCCAAACTTGCCACTTTTCCCTTAGGAGTTTCCCGTAACTTTTAACAGACATAAATCTTAGCCTGAGTTATTTCTAGGATTTCTCCTTACACGACCTCATGACTCAATTCCTAGCCTTTTTTGTAACTCAAAGATCTTTTGAGCTTCATTAGTTGTGGTTACTTGGACCATTCATGATCCTTGGCCATGATGATGCCTTCTTTATTACTCTAACACTTGAAGGTACAGGAATTGGATCATATCCTTTTAAATAGCTTGAAAGCCTGTTAATGAGCCCTGCCAAAGATATCAGTCTGTATATTTAGCGAGGTCTTACATATAGTATAGAATTAGCAAATATATTAATTTGAAACCCACTATATTTGCACAAGCTATTGTTTTTTCATATTGAGCTTTTTTGTTCAAAGAGCAAGGGAGAGATCAAAGCCTAGAAAGAAGTTCACCCATGCAGTGGAACTGATCAAAAGAGGTGCTCAGCTCCTTGGAACAACAGAAGTTTCTGTTGTGGAAAAACTATTGGAGAAGTTAGGAACATAGACTAGAACCAGTCTCTCCCATGTCCCATGCCCAACTTTCCCTTTTGGGTTTACTAAGGCAGCATAAGAGAGAAGCATTCAGCTTCAGGCATTGCTTAAAATGGTAATGAATGGAGTAGTAGACTAAAAAATCTGCCTACTTAATCCTAAAGCAGTACCCAATCTTTGTTTTCCTACTCCCTATTTACCAGTTCCTCTGGCTTAGCTATGGTTTTATATCAAAGCACTTACCAGAGTTTTTCTCCCACCCACATACTCAGGCTATACTTGGGCCTACTTAGGTGCTGCTGCTTGAAGAGGCTAACTATCTGAAGCCATACCATATGAACCTGCCTAGACTGTATATGCAGTAGGGCTGTGCAAAATTTCACTGGCAGTTTTGTTTTGACGCTGTTTCAACTCGTTTCGAGCTTGAAACAGCAAAATCAAAATGAAACAGAGAGCTTCAAAACAGCTTCAAAAAGAAATGAGGCAAGTCAAAACATTTCAAAATCTTTGAAACATTTTGAGTTTCGAAGCTCAAGCTGGGCTTGCCTGCAGGGAAACAGAAACTAAAGTAAGGAGAGGGAGGGGGAAGTGTGGGGAAGGAGTGCTCTCATTATTGACTGTGTAGCTGGCCAGTGACTGTCATCCTTCCCTGAGGTCCCTTCCAATCCC